TACTTCTAGTGTAAACGTGACTACTAATTCAGTCTTTCAAGTTTATTATTTATATAGACCAGCTACTACAAAATATCTTATTGATGATAACTAATTCCTCTTTAATAATGGTTTTACATTTATTAACATTTTACAGCACTTTGTTTATATGAAACATCTATGTAACTCTTAATTAAATCACATTTAAATCAAGTAATTACATTTTCATATTCAACTTATGTATTCTTATTAGAAGTTGGTCACTTTTTTTACTTTGAATCTTTTGACTGTGGTAACAGTCCATTCACCAAACCACAAAGTCACTTAAAAATGTTGAAAGAGAATATCATAAAGGTAAAATTCCTTCTTCTATCGTGTTTTTCATGCAATTTTAGGTTGTAAACGTTTTGTTCAACACCTTTTTTACAATTTATCCCAAGCAACACTATGAAAGATTTAAATCCTGGATTTACAGCATTCAGTTTCGAGATGAGTGCAGTCACAATGTAGTTTAAGATATAATTTTCACATGAACACTTATTTACCACAGCACAAACGCATGTACCTATTCATGTAACATTAAAATAAAGTGGAAACAAATTGCATAATTTGGTATATAAAAAAGTACAAAATGTTTTTAGTTTTAATTCGACATTGGACTACGACTACGAGGAAAACAGTGGTTCATTCCACTTGTACCATATTGACATTATTATGCACGATGCTCGTTCAAACGAACATCAGAAAAGTGTTGCCAACTTAAGCTGACTACTATTTCCCCCCTAGCCTCAGTCACCCCCTCTTCCATTTACTGGGTCTATGTCGCGACCCCCTTAGATATACCAGCCCTGATTGTAACCCAATATTGTTTGTTAGTAAAGTTTACTGAACAACACAACAACACTTCGATAACAACACTACTATCATAACCTCATTATTTTCTTGTGCAAAAAGCGATATGTGTCTTGAATAATGGTGCGAAGTTAAGTCAGTTTTAACTCATTTTGCACGCTACAAAATTCTAAGCGCAGAACAGACATGTCATGTTTTGCCACTTAACCCTCTTTATACGCCGAGTTTTGATATTATACTGACATAACTCCTTTGACATATCACCATGCCACCTTTAAATTGATGCACTGAATTATCTCTTTATGCACAAAACACGAGGAAGCATTTTATTAATACTTTCTTGGCTTAACCTCAAATTCACTAAAAACCGACTTATCGCCCTTTACACGCGCGCCCGTGAATTTTGATTGACTATTTAAAGCTTTATTTATTTGATGTATAATGTTTTTGTTTGTTTGAAAGATCTTTAAACAAATTCAATGCCGTTTCAGTTATATTACCTGTTATGACTTATAACGATGAATATTTTGGCAACTCGAATAAATTAAATTAAAAAACGTGTTTCAAATACCAATTTGATGTTATCGATGAAATTTTAGAACATGTTTGAGAGTTAAGTTTAATGAAGATCACAGATTTCCACAATGGATTTCGTCAAAGGTATTCGTAAAAGATTTGTTGAGTCAACTTTATTTTTGTTTTAGTTTTACTGAAATCGAAAGTAGGTGACTGTGTGCTCTGATAAGAATGGAAGCATAATGCATTTTGTGATAGAGATGCTAAATAGTGCACCATTCAGAAAACAATTTAAGTGTAATATCCATTTTGCTTTGCAATATTTGATGAATTTGGGAAAATAAAGGATTAGTCATCTTCATACTATTTTAAATACCTTAAAAATTAGCTCAAAAAGTTCATTTATATAAATAGTAAACGATATGGGGACTAGCACCGACTCCTGAGGTACCCCCACATTGTTTATAAGTTTCCGTGAAAAAATTAAATAAATAATTTTAAATTAAACTGTTTGGAACCGATCTTCAATATAGAATTCAAACCATTTATTTTAAATACCTCTAATACCATAAAAGTAGATTTTATTTAAAAGAACATCATGTTGAATACATTTGAAATCTCTGCTGAGATCACATAAACGTCCTCCCGGGCTGTTGCTGTGTTCAATTGATTCAAGTATCTTCTCATAAAAGGAGATAACAGAACTGTTGGTAGAATATTGTTACCATGCACCATGTACCTGTTATAGGAAACGTACGAATTAAAGAAAAAGTGCAATGACACTTATCACTATACAGTGTGATGCTGTCGTCATAAGTAAAAGTTCGAATAAAAGAAGAAGAAAACAGTCTAAAAATATCCAAAACTGTAATTTAGTGTCAAGAAATATCTAGACGGTTTGAGAAGGTTCAGGGAGCTATATAATTCAATTATCTTTTATCTTGACGTCACAGGGAGTTTATTGATAGAAATTGTACGGTAATGTTCATTAATAAATCGAATTTACCAAAAACCAGCGTAACACTTGGCAACAGCGGTTGGATCCAAAACAAAAAATACCTGTGTACGAAACTGGCATGGATAATTCAGGTCCCCCAGAATGGTTTTTGAAGATGGAAGAAGAGAAGGAAATGCGCAGGAAAGCGAAAAAAGTGGAAAAGGAAAGGCAAGAAGAGGATAAGGAATTGCACAGAAAGAAGCAAGGGAAGGAAAAGGCGAAAAGAGAAGAAGGAAAGGTGCATGAAGGGGGAAGAAATAGTAAAGGTGGAGAGGCGTAAAAAAGCAGAGGTGGAAATTATAAATGGTTTGCTACATATCCAGAAAACCTTCAAGCAAAAGGTTGCTCAGCTTAAAATTCCAGTAGATCTTTAAGCATAACAACAAAAGATTTTAAAAACTAATTTAGAACAACAATAAGAGAATTTAAAACAACAAGAAAAGGATAGAGTAGAGTTGGAGAGGCAAATTAAAACTGAATAAGTTGAGTTAGAAAGAAGATTTCTTAGCCTAGCTGTGGGAAATAACATTGAAGTTGAAATGACTCCCTTGTCTTCTTTTATAACCGAATCAAGCCACATTTAAAACCCAGCTTCACAAAACGATACTAGTAAGAACATTAAGGCACCCACGTTTGACGATCAGACAACATGGGAAACATATCTACTCCAATTTGAAGCTTCAACCAGAGCCAATGGCTGGGCCGAAAAAGAGATGGCTGCTTCATTGATAGTGTCGCTGCGAAGACAGGCAGCGACCGTTTTACAGTTAAGGTAAACCCAGTTATTTCTCTCTCGGTTACGCCTTGGAGACAGCAGCATTTGAAACAGGTATTCTAAAGCCAGCAAAGTCAGATATATAATGAGAATCTACGGGAATTCGAAGCTCATCCACAGGCGTCCAAAGATTGTCAAGAACAAATCGACATACAGACATTCGTTAATTACCTACAAGCTGTGAAAATGTAGCGAGCTCTTCAGCTACACCATAAGACGCTGAGATCTTTTTGCGCAAAACTGAGAGAAATTAGATTTCAGGAAAGTGAAGAGGCTAATACTAAAACTATTTCCCAACCTAGTTCTCTCACAAATCTGAAACAACTTGCAATATATACAACGAAACAGCCAAAATAAAAGCAGAAGAATCTTTAATTGCAAAAGAATCAGACACCTTCAACGAATTGAGAATCGGGGAGTGAGGCCAGAAATTCACCTAGATCAACCTCCCGAAGCCCGTCACGAAATCTAACAAGAAAAAATTACAGCAGTTATGCTTCCTGATGAAGCCGATTACCCACTCCTAGCTGGCTTTCTAACAATAATCAGGAATTAGTGCTACAAAGAGGCCGTCTATATAGCAACGCAGACATTCTTTCCAGGCGACCCTGTTTAGAACGATAATGACGGTAGTGTAAATGGCTCAAAGAACGAGAGGAATCGATTAAAGAAGTTTGTCTTCACGCAATCACTATCAAGCCAGAGGACAACGAAGAGGAGATCACTGTTGAAAGCCTGAAAAAGGGAAAGAAAGACAATGATTTAAAGGTTATCCGAGAATGGCTCAGAAATAAAGTTAGACCTACGTGGCAAGAGATTGCCAAATATAGTGGAAATATTAAAAAGTACTGAACTTAGTGGAATTCCGTATCTTCACGATGGCCTATTGCACCGGATGTGAGAGAGCCCCGATTGAGTACATGTAGTCCGCCGATTGGCACTGCTGAAATCGTATGTCAGAAGTGTGTTGGAGCAGCTTCATAGCAGCCGTTCAGGTGGATATTCTGGTAGTAAAAGGCACGAGTTCGGGTCGATCGCCGACGGGATGTAGCAGATTGGAGTAAGAAATGTGATTTATGCAATGACAAAAAAGGACCTAAAACAAGAAGCCGAGGTAAAATGACACACTACCTTTCCGGAGAGCCTTTCGAACGAATCGCCATACGGTGGTCCAGATCCTTCCCCGTTGGCTCCAACCAGATCCCAGTAATTATAATATTCGGGACGAATATTTATAGAAGAGGAAGCAATGTTACCGTATAGCCTGCAGTAGCCTGCAGTAGCCTGCGACTGTTATAGGAAACGAACAGATAAAAGAAGAAGTGCAATGTCACTCATCCCCCTACATCATGAATAAAGGTACGAATAGAAGAAGAAGAAGAATAGTCTAGAAGTGTCATTAAGTGTCAAGAAACATCTGGACGCTTCGAGAGGGATAAGAAGGTACAAGGAACTATATACTATATGTTTTACGATAATGTTCATAGTAGTATATTGTAAAAGTTGAGTTGTAAATAAATTGAGTTTACCAAAAACCAGCGTATCAATATATTCTGGATCAATATATTTAGGATCCATGTTGGAATTACGTTATAACTTAATTTAAATTAAGATAATACATTAGTTGCATAAACATGTAATTTTAAAGGATATTGATATTACAGAAATTGGTCAATAATTGGAATTCCTTTTTTTATAGGCGAAACTTTTAGTATCTGACGCCTATAGGGAAATGTGCCCTCTTCTAATGATTTATTAATTGCGAAGTGAAATTCCTTTTATTAGTTTTCGAGGCGTCTTGTATTTAGCCGATTTTTTTTAATATTTTATTTTTTATTTAAATACTATTGAATCTACCCATTTATTTTTGTTTTTTTTTAGACTAGAGCATATGGCTGCTAACATTTTGGGTGACTACAGTTTAGCTGCTCATATTCGAGAAGATTGTGATAATACATTATACGATACTTTAAATACCGTATATTATACGTTTAAGTGTTATATTACTCGAATAAGAGAGGCTCTCCTTGATGACAGAATGACTTCTGAAGAAATAGAAATCGACCTAAGACCGTACAGGAAGAGGCATCATCGTTATTAGTGTAAAGCTTTGAAACAAAAATAAATATACCTAAAACACTCTAATTGTTGTTGTTTTTAAATAGTTGTAGATTTAATGAACATTGTTAGAAATATTACACCAGCAATGAGGAATAAGAGTTTCCGAATGATTTTCTACTAATTTTTTATCGCAAACTTTTTTCATTATATCCTTTTTCTGTTGAATTTTGCAGATTGGTATAATGCAGCGGTACACAGAATAACATTTTTATATTGTCAAAACTTAATTTGAAAATGCGTATTCCGTAAAATGACAACAGCTTATATAGGAGTTAAAGCTATATTATAAAATTTTTGTTTTATTTATTATCGACATTCAGAAATTCTTGCTTAAATGCTCTGTAGGTACTAACAAGAATAGTAATGAAATAATAAAACTAACTAAATGCATTTTATAGTAACTGTTAAAGGTTATTATTGTCTTTATTTGGGTAGAAAACCTTCATAAAAAAGGCTAATTCATACCAAAAACCATTAACATCTTAAAAAAACAGCGAAAATCCAACTGTACCGCACTGCAATTAAATGAATAAAAAAATACAGAAGAAGCGTAGAAGATTAAATATTTTATGTTTCTATAAGATTCCGAGTTGTAACTCAAGCTTAAAAATGGTCTGTTAAAAAAGAATTGGCTGGTAGAAGACCGACAATTGGAACGATTTATTGGAGCTAAGATATGCTCAGATACTTCAGGGTGAATATATCAAGATATTGTAGCATATTCAAGGGCACTATAATTAGGAGCATACCAAATCAGGGGGTTTATAACCAAAGAGGTTAGAAAGGGTAGAGGTTAGGGGCGGTTTCTCCATTGGGTCATTTGTGCAGTGAATACCCAGTTCAATTTCATAAAGACACATTATTTTAAAATTACATAAATAACATAAAAATATAATTTTAATTTTAATATTTTTATTTTCATACGTGTTAATCTATATTTTTTGGTACATCATTGCTCTCTTGCTGATCGCGTCTCTGTGGCACAATATACCTAAGTATACCGTATCTGTGGCGCATTATGATGAGTGAGCCTAACACGAGTGAGACGATTTGGCGAATATATATATATATATATATATATATATATATATATATATATATATATATATATATATATATATATATATATATATCTTACTATAGATAGAGCGTCCGTACATTCTTAAATCGCATTCATTGGAGCGTCCAGGTATTTAGAGCGTCCGTATATAGACGCTCTAAGACGGTGCCCATTAAAAATTTTTCCAGAGGTCTATAATGACGTCAGAAACGTGCTGGCAAAATTTTTGAGAGACGCCAAAATGATGAAAAAATACATGAAAATAATACGGCTTGCGTATACTTTAGTTCAATACTATTGCTACCAGAGGCACTTGCAGCGCTGATGTATATAGAAAGTATACGATTTCCTTGATACCCATTCGATTCTAGAGCGTCCACTGACTTGGCATCGTTGCTTTGGAAGCTAATGTAAAATAAATTAAAGTTGATTTAATAATCTTAGTTGGCCTGGTAGAAGTCTTAGTATATTATAAAATTTCTCTCAAGAAGCCGTCCGTCCGTCATTTTTTGTGAGCGTTTAAAGGGGGTTGAAAATTCAAAAAATCGTAAATCAAAAACGAAACATATCAACATGAAGTTTTTTAGAAAAATCAAGCTCTATAAGAAGACAAAGGCTATTAATTAAAAAAGAAAACGAATAAAAATTGGAACTTTAAAGGGAGGGGGGTTGATTTGAAAAAAATATAAATCAAAATTGAAAAACAATATCAACTTTTTTAGGAAAAATCAAAGTCTATAAATCAAGCTCTATGAGGGGACACCGAAAATTGATTATGAAAAAAAATCTGATTAAAAATGGGGGATATAAGGGTGGGGGTGGAAACTTAAAAAAATATTATAAATCAAAATCGAAAAACAATATCAACTTGAAATTTTTAGGAAAAATCAATTTTAAGAAAAAATCAAGCTCTATAAGGGGAAGAAAGCCTATTGATTTTGAAAAAATCTGGTTAAAAGGTTTGAAGGGGGGTTGAAAATTCAAAAAAATCATAAATCAGAAACGAAAAACAACTTGATATGTTTAAGAAAAATCAAACTCTATAAGTAAACAAAGTCTGTTGATTATGAAAAAATCTAAAAAACAATGAGGGTTTAAGGGGGGTTAAAATATAAAAAATCATAAGTTAAAACAAAAACATGATAACAACATGAAGTTTTTAAGAAAAATCAAGCTCTATAAGAAGACAGGCTATTGATTAAAAAAAAACGATTAAAAATTAGGGATTTAAGGGGAAGGGGGGTGAAATTTAAAAAAAAAATAATAAATCAAAATTGAAAAACAATAACAACTTGAAATTTTTAAGAAAAATCAAAGTTTATAAGTTGGCGATGTCTAATGATTAAGAAACAAATTTTGATAAAAAATGGGTGGTTTATGAGGGGTTGAAACTTAAAAATCATAAATCAAAAACGAAGCATGATATCAACATGAAATTTTCAGAAAAATCAAGCTCTATAAGGGGACAAAGACTATTAATTAAAAAAAATACAATTAAAAATGTGTGAATTAAGGAAGGGGGAGGGGTTGAAACTTAAAAATAAATCATATATCACAATTGAAAAACAATATTAACTTGAACTTTAAAAAAAAATGAAACTCTATAAGTGGACAAAGCCTATTGATAAAAGTGTGGGATTTAAGAGGGGGTTAAAAAAATCATAAATCAAAAACGAAACATGATATCGACATGAAATTTTTAGGAAAATCAAGCTCTATAAGGGGACAAAGATCAATACGCGGTAAGTCATTAATATATATTAGAAATAGAACAGGGCCCAATACAAAACCCTGTGGAACTCCTCTTAAAATGGGAGCCAATTGTGACTCCACATTATCAAGAAACACCCCCTGTAATATGTTCGTCAGATATGAAAAAAATAAGGCAAGTTCCTTCCCCCTTATGCCATAGTACTCCATTTTTTCCAAAATAATATCAATGCTTACACAGTCGAAGGCCTTAGTGAGGTCACATAATACCGCAGTAGTACTCGAGCCCTCGTCAAAGCCACCGACTATGTAATCAATTACTTTAGCGACTGCTCCTATTGTAGATCTATGCCTTCTAAACCCAAATTGGGCTGGCGAGAATAAATTTTTATTTTCAAAATAGTTAACTAATTTCTCTTTTAGCTTTACTTCAAATATCTTACCGATAACAGGTGTAATGGCAATTGGCCTATAATTATCAGCATCATTAGAATCACCTTTTTTAAAAAGTGGCAATACCTTACTAATTTTAAGTTGGTTAGGCCAATTTCCTTCGATTATGCATTGGTTATATAAAATATTAAGTGGTTTAATGAGGGATTCTATAGAGGCCTTAATCATGGGACTACTGAGGCCATAGTAATCCGTGCATGGCGTATTTTTAATATGAAGTATAGCCTCTCTTACGTCAGATTCAGAGACTGGACCCATAAAGAACGAATACGGGGGCTTCGGTGCCATTTTAATAAAATCATTAGAGGAAATATTATTATCGTTTTCGATTATTTGAATAACCTTCTCTGCTACATTGAAGTCTTCAGATGTTAGATTCGATGTACTGGATGATTTGTTTTTGGATTTTCTTTCTGCGTTTACAATATTCCAGATTTTTTTATTTTTATTTTCTGATGCAGCTATTCTTTTATTGTAAGCGTTACGTTTCTCTAATCTAATTGAACTCCTATAGTTTTTGCGCGATTCAGAATATAGTCTTCAATCTTCTAACGAATTGTTTTTTTTTTAATCTAGATTTGTTTTGAAATACTTGATTTCGCTGTACCCGCAGTTCCTCATTAAACCACAAAATCTTTTTGTCACCACTGCGAATTTTTTTTATGGGAAAGCATAGATCTACAATAGGACATAGTAAATATTATATTACAAATCTCCTGGGAGCAGTAATTTCCAATTTCTAGTCCATGCCAACTAATTTCAGATAACTTTTCTGAGAACTGTAAAATTGTACGTTCATTAATAAATCTTTTGTTGACATAACTGGTATCACTTAAAATATTAAAGTCTTTTATCTCCAAAAATAAAGTCAAATGATCGGCTATGTCGGCATCAATGACTTTTGATATTATAACTTCCGGATTTATATTGGTAATAATATTGTCCAAACATGATTTAGAAGTGGGAGTTATTCTAGTTGGAACTGTGATGTAATGTTTCATACCATACATATTTAATATATTAATTAAATCAAGCGAATGCTCATTTAAACTATTAAAATCAACATTAAAATCAACTATAAAAATTAGGTTCTTAAATTTTTTATATAAATAATTAATTAAATTTAGAAAATACGTTTTGAATATTGATATGTCCCCATGGGAGGAGGATCTGTACACTGTTACTAAGGCATAATTTTTATTTATCAATTCTACACCACAGAATTCTGCATGAAAACGCTGGCAAAATTTTGCAACGTCAATAACTTTTAATGAAATATTATTCTTAGAAAAAAACAATAATAATAATAATTAAAAACAATCAGAATTAAATTACAATCAATATTGCATAACTAAATTATTCACTTTCTGCCGCACTCTCTGCGCTACCGAAATGATAAATTAACGCTCTGCAGGTCTATCGTTATGTATCAAAATATATCTTTAACACAGTTAAACAAAAACTTAAACTGCCTATCATTTAAATATATGACAACACCGCAAAGCGCTAATTGACGCCACAAAAGCGGTCAAATATACGTAAATTTGAATATTGGTGACGCTGCAATGTGTATCAATTGAAATGACGCCCAGGTGTCGATAAAGTAAAAGTAACGATTTGTGTTTTCCTTTCAATTTAATGTTATCCGCCTAATTTAAGCTGCTTCTTCGAACAGCAACGAGTATATATGTCTAAAATAAGTAGATCAAGGGTAAACAGACATGGGCGCTTTAAAGCGCATCTTTATCGGGACGCTTCAATGATACAGAGATGTATATATATATATATATATATATATATATATATATATATATATATATATAGCTAAAAAGAGAAGACAACACGCCAACAGATC